CCCAAGGACGGTGTAATGTACACTCCTCCTGGATGGATTGTGGCATTCCGAGTGGTTCAGCAAGACGGCTCTGGAACTGCAGACTCTCATGCATTTGGATTTCGAGTTGCAGTGCCTCCAGTGAAGGACTCCGATGCTGCCGCTCGCGACCTCAGGGACATGTTGGCCATCCTCGAGACCGACGCGGACGAGCTCACCACCAAGCCTACGGCGTTCTCCGCGAAGAAGTTGGCCCAGACGCAGAAGGACGTCTTGATTGTCAAGCAATTCTTGTCCATGCTGCCGGTAGCTGCGGGGAAAGCGGGTTCGGGCATCGAGGGGGGGGGAGAGGGGGGGGGGTCCAGGAGGGAGCCTCGGAGGAGGAGGATGGAGAAGGGAGGAGGCTCATAGTCTCACAGGAGAGGAGGATGCCTCGCTCACCCAGCCGTGCCAGCCCTTGATTCACAAAGGGAGGGGGGGGGTCGTAAAGGTCGCCGATGAGACCATGACCAAGCCCAAGCATGAGCACATGCAGGCCAGCATGGACGGCGGCGCCCAGCCCGATCCCTCTCAGTCTCAGGACGCCCATGCAGCGGGCTGGGGATTTGGGTTCAGCGCCCCTCTCTCTTTCTTCCTCCCTCTCTCTCCCTCTCTCCCTCCCTCCCTCTCTCTCTCTCTCTGTATATCTCCCTCTCTCCCTCCCTCCCTCCCTCCCTCTCTCTCTCTCTCACTCGCTCCCTCCCTCCCTCCCTCTCTCAGCCTATCTCTCCCATCACGATCATCGTCACCACCATCGCCATCGACATCACTGCCGTCATCATCATCATCATCATCATCAGCAGCAGCAGCAGCAGCAGCATCACCACCGACAACCATCACAATCATCGCCATCATCATCGTTGGATCGTCTGAGTTCGGAAAGTATTCGGACCATGTTGGGCCGTCTTGGATGGAAGCCACCTGGGGGCCTGGGGCCCAGGCGGCCCAGGGCCATCCTGGCCATCTTGGAGTCTTGGAGGCCATCTTGGGCCATCCTTCCCACTTTGGAAACCCCGCGAGGCGCATTCGCCGGCCAGGCGGCACCCCGACGAACTTTGCAAGCATTGTTTTTGTTGGGACGGGACGTAGTAGATTAGAAGATGGACAGGGGGGCGCGAGGCAGGGGAGGTGGGCACTGGCAGCTCAGCCCAGCACGCAAGCGAGAAGTTCCCCATCTGTATCGGCTCCCATCCACGCTTCTCTGAGCTCAACGATGCGGAGCAGCGCGAGGCCGCGGACATGCCTATCTGGGCTCTATTCGGAACGTCCCCCCCCCATTGATGCCGACAAGGAGCCAGTCGAGGCCATGATCGTGAAGGACGCCAACTTCTGGGCGGCCGTGGATGCCAGGCGCGGGGCCGAGTCCGACGACGACATGGGCAGGGAGAATTCGCCAGCTCCTGTTGAGGAGGCCCCGGGCCCAGCTCGAGACTCGATATTGAACGTCGACCCCCAGCCCCCAACTCCCAACCCCTAGGGCCCCAGGGCCCCGGGCAGCCTGCTCGTTCAAGAAGGGGAAGATATTCCCCCGCGGCCCGCTCCTCCTCCTCCTCTGAACCTCGTCTCCCCCCGGCTCCCCCTCCTCTCAACCTCGTCTCCTCGTCTCCTACTTCGGTCCGAAGTAACTGCTTTGTCCCCGGCCCCTCTTGGGTTGCGTTGCACGTGACCCCCAGCGGCCCCCAGCACCCAGCCCGCTCCCTCCGCGCCCCCAATGCCAATCCCCAAAAAGCCCTACAGGCCTTGGGGAAGCACGGGGAAGATGAAGGAGAAGGAGGATGAGGGGGAGGGGGGCGGAGGCTGAGGCGGAGGGGAGGCTCCAGGTCACCCCCAGGGGCGCGAAGATAATCGCGCTGCGCGGGGCGGAGCCCTGGCTATACAGTTGATCTTCCCCAGGGCGACCTTGCGAGGGCGCGAAGATAACGATTCAGAACGTTCCTATGCGCCCCCTGCAATGAGACCGAGGCGGCCGAGGCGGCCAACAAGAACGAGGGCCCGATCGGCGAGCGTGGCGGCGGCGAGGAGGCCAAGTCGTCGTCCTCCTCCTACTCCTCCTCCTCCGCCTCCTCCTTCTCCTCCTCCCCCCCTCTCCCTCTTCCATTATTCAGCGAAGGGCCAGACGGCGTTTCTTGTGGGTCAGGCGGCAGGGGAGACAGGGTAAAATATTTACCCCCTGGCCTCCAGGCTCGACTAGCGTTGTGATTGTCGTGGCATTCCGATGGCATTCCATCAGCGAAGCCTGGCGATGTCGAATGGTGTCGGTCGAACTCGGGCTTCGCCCTGACAGTTTCAGCGCTGCTCGGCTAAGTGTTTCAGATTTGTTCTGCCTTGGGGCCTTGGGGCCTCTGAAGAAAAAAACTCCTCCTCCTCCGCCTCCTCCTCCTCCTCCTCCCCCTCCTCCTCCGTTCTTTTCCCATCCCCTTCCCCCCCTGGACCGCCCCCTCCTCCCCCTCCACTCCCTCCTCCTCCTTCCTCTCCCCCCTCCCTCCTTCTTCTTGTTTCTCTCCGAACCTCGAGCCTTCAGCTTTTCCTTCGAAGGCGGAGGCCGCGGTCGTGGACCAGGAGCCTCAGGCGCCCGCCGGCACGACGCTGCAGCAGCCAGCGCAGGAGCAGCTCAAGCCAGCGGCGGCTGAGGGCGAGGCCGCGGCCGCCGCGGCCGCAGGGCCAGCCGGGCCCGAGCCGAAGGCTGAGGGCGAGGCCGCGGCCGCCGCGGCCGCAGGGCCAGCCGCAGCAGCCCCCCTGGGGCCGCCGCTGGAGCCAGCGCCCAAGGCTGAGGAGGAGGGCAAGGCCGCGGCCGCGGGGCCAGCCGCAGCAGCCCCCCTGGGCCAGCCGCCAGGGCCAGCGCCCAAGGCTGAGGAGGGCAAGGCCGCGGGGCCAGCCGCAACAGCCCCCCTGGGGCCGCCGCCAGGGCCAGCGCCCGAGGGCAAGGCCGCGGGGCCAGCCGCAGCAGCCCCCCCAGGGCCCCCAGGGCCGCCGCCAGGGCCAGCGCCCAAGGCGGAGGGCAACGCCGCGGCCGCGGGGCCAGCCGCAGCACCCCCTGTGGGGCCGCCGCCAGGGCCAGCGCCCAAGGCTGAGGAGGGCAAGGCCGCGGGCCCAGCCGCAGCAGCCCCCCTGGGGCCGCCGCCAGGGCCAGCGCCAGCGCCCATGGCTAAGGCTGAGGGCAAGGCAGAGGGCGCCAGCGGCAAGGCTGGCAAGGCCAAGGCGAAGACGGGCACTGCTGCTGCGGCAGCGGCAGCGGCGGTCGCAGCAGCCGCCCCCCCCGGGCTCGGGCCGCCGCCGAAGGCTGCGACCGCGGCGGCCGCGCCTGCGGCGGCGTCGGCGTCGAAGTCGAAGTCCAGCGGCAGCCAGCAGATGACCGTCGACCAGGCTCGCGCGTCGTGTCGTCGTCGCGTCGTCGTCGTCGCCGCCCTCTAGGGCGACGAGATCTATGCATATCCACGGTCCACTGCTCCTGGCCAGGCCCATCCTGGGCCCAGGAGCGGTGTATATGCCTCCCTGGCCAAGCCAGGAGGGCGTATACACAGCTCTTGGGCCCAGGATTTGGCCTGGCCGGGAGCAGTGCATATGTATAGATATCGTCGCCCTACCCTCCTCACAGGCGTTCAAGCGTCAGAAGGTGGAGTGAGTCACGCGGCCGAAGCCCCTGAGGCCGAGGCCGGAGGCCGCCGTGGCAGGGAGGGAGGCGGAGGGAGTGTCAATGAGGAGTCAGAGTCAGGAGTCAGGAGTCAGGTTCGGAAATGGAGGTGAGGGAGGCTCCTGGCCCGGGAGAGCAGGAAGCCTCTCCGGAGTGAGCAGGGGCGCCTTGGGCTGGCGGCGCCCCCTCAGCCGCTCAGCCTCGGGCGCCGACGACGAGCGCCCCCTGGCCTCCAGCGCCGAGGGCCCCTCAGCCCTCAGCCACTCTCCTCGGCCCTCAGTCCTTTGGATCCTCATCCACTCATCCCTCACTCAGCTCTCGTCGAGCGCCGGGGCATTTTTTTTGCGCGGAGGGAGGAGGCGGTAAGGAGGAGGGGGAGGCGGAGGAGGAAGAGGAGGAGGAGGAGCCCTAGGGAGGATGCGCCCGTGCTGGAGCCGCGCTCGCTGGCCCTGAAGAAATCGCGGCCGTCGCGAGTCGCGGGAGGGGCTTCTCTCCCCTCCCTCCCTCGCCTTCCTCCCTCCTCCCTCGCCTCTCCCACTCCCTCCCCTCCCCCCGTCCACTCCCTCCCTCGCCTCCCTCCCTCCCTCCCTCGCTTCCCTCCTGCCTCCCTCCCTCCTCTCGCTTCCCTCGCCTCCCTCGCGCCTCTCCCTTCCTCCACCGATCGCCTCTGTCTTCCTCTGTCCTCAGCCTTACCTGTCCTCCTGAAGCCTTCCCCTCCTCCTCGTCCTTGCTCTTCCGCAGCGCGGGGTCTTCTCCTTTTCCCCCGTCGTCCCCTCCTTTTCCCCCGTCGTCTCCTCCTTTTCCCCCGTCGTCTCCTCCTTTTCCCCCGTCTGGCCTCCGTGCTCCCCGAGACAGTGTATGCGCGCACCTGCGGGTTTAGGTAGCCTTGCGTCTGCCGTGCCTTCGGCCTGGCATGAGGAGTTACGGCTTCGCCAGGCTGGCGCCTCGCTCCCGGCGGCCGCGGGCGAGCTCAAGGACAAAGCGCTCGACCTGGTGAAGTCAGAGGTCCTCCAGGACATGCGGGACGAACACGGGCAGGATGAGCAGGGGGACGTCCGCACAGAGAAGCGGAACTCCATCGCGACCCGCCTGGCGAGGCTCACCCGACGCACACAGACGCTAGCTCTGCAGGCCATGGATAACGAGGAGGGCAACGTGGTGACCGACCCCGGGCAGATGGCGCAGCTTCTTCAGGAGCACTGGGCGAAATTGTTTGGCGCTGAGGATCCGGACCCCCGCGCCCTTCAGGCATGGTTCCGCTTGGCGAAGCAGGTGGGGTCGTCGCCAGTGACAGCCCCTACGAAGTGATGGAGAGTTCGCATCGTGATGTCCGCGGGGCCTTACGGCTTGCAGGCAACTCGCGTCCGGGGCCAGACGGCATCCCATTTGCGGCCTGGCGGCGCATGCGGGAGCTGGGACTGGATGTTCTCCTCGACGTGGCCCGGGCTTTGGAGGCAGGGTTGGACAGCTCCAGGCCAACGCGCCTGAGATACAACGAGGCGCTCATGGTCTGTCTTCCCAAGTCGTCCACGCGCGCGGACTCTGAGGGGCGGGGCATTTACACAGCAGACGAGACGCGGCCTTTGACGATTACCAATGCGGATAATCGCGCGGTTGCCAGTGCTTTCCGGCGGCGGTGGGAACCGTTCCTCGCCCCGCACATATGCGCACAACAGCGTGGCTTCATCCGGGGGCGGCCCATGATAGCGAACATCATCGACTTGGAGCACGAGGCCATGATCCAAGCTCTGGAGGCGACCGACGCTACCATCATCCCCCTGGATTTCCGGGCTGCGTTCCCTAGCGTGGCCAGAGGATTCTTGTTCAAAGCGCTCGAAGCCTTCGGCTTCCCGCCGCGCGCGATGAACGCCCTCTATTCCCTGTATCTGCACGCGGCGGCCACGGTGATCATGCACGGCCAGACACGCGGGCAGGTCGTCTTGCCCCGGGGGATCCGCCAGGGATGCCCCCTAAGCCCGCCCCCGTTTGCGGTCAGCACAGACAGCATTTTCGAATCACGCAGTCGCAGCAGCCAGCTGCCTTGGCGAGGGCCTTTGCCGACGACACAGCGGTGCTGATTCAATCTTGGAAGCGGGACCGGCTCTTGCTGTTCAGCATCTTCGCGCTGTTCGAGAAGGTTTCGAGACTCTCCCTGAACTTCAAAAAGACCATCGCCATTCCGCTCTGGACGGAGGACCCGCAGGCGATCCAGGCGCGTCTGGCGGAGGAGCCTGGGGAGCCGCAGATCACTTGGGCCTCGTCTGGCAAATATTTGGGAGTGCACGTGGGCCCTGGAAAGGGCACGCGCTCCCGGGAAAAGCCCGCTCGGAAATTTGAGAAACGCCTTGAAGAATGGCCATGGGCAGAACTTGGCCTGCATGCCGCTATTTCCATCTACAATACATTTGTGTTGTCGGTATTGCTGTTCGTAGGCCAGGTCGAGACGCCGCCAGACTTTGTTCTTCGACTGGAAGCCCGGGCAGTGCGGCGCATTGCGCATGGTCCGGGAAACTGGTGTTCTCCCCGTGACCTCCACCATGCGCGAGACTTGGGCCAGTCCATCAACTTGCGCCTTTTGGCGGTGCCCTGCAAGGCGGCCATGCTGCGCCTTCGAGAGCAGGAAGCCACAGGCGCGGGCATCCGTTGGCGCCATCTCGAGAGGGCTCTGACGCACACGAAGGGGAGCACGATGCACTTGCACGGCTTGGTGGACTGGAAGCCCTGGTTCGACGCGCGCTTGCCGACGGTGGTGGAGACGCTGCATTTCAATTCTGCTTCGCAGGGCATCTCGCGCAGCCGGGCGGTGCGCGAGGTGGCCGGGGCCCCGATAGGACCTCTGAGCCGGGACAATTTGGCCAAATTCCGCCGTGGATACCAGGCCTGGTGCTGCAAGGCACTCCTGCGGGCGGAGCGCTTTGACCCAGCGACGAGGATCCGCCAGCGCACGGCGCGGTGGCGCTTTCTGGCGCTGCCTGGGCACGCAGCGCCGCGGATTGCGCGTCATCTACGCCGGCTTCGCTCCCTGGTTCCAGCGCGGGCGAGAGCGGCCATGCTGAGCACTATCTTCAATAGATGGACCACAGACACCAGGAGATCCCTGCGGGCAGGTCGCAACCGCTGCGCGTTCGGATGCACCTGCCCCTTGTCAGACCGGGTGGAGCACTACCTGAGGTGCCCGGGTTTTCGCGCGCGGGCGGCGCGGCGGCTGCAGCTGCGGCCGCCGCCCGCGACGCGACTTGACGAGTGGATGATCGCGTCCAGAGGGATGGGCGACATGCAATTGCGGCAGACAGCCGTGGCGGTCTATGTCCTGCACCGCACCGTGAACCATCTGCGGCGCGCGAGCCCGCTGGACGACGCGTCGGAAGAATACGAGCGACACTTCATGAATCAGATGTTGCACGAGGCGGCACGGAGCGACAGCCGCCTACGCGAGGCCCTGCGCGCGGCGCAGGTGCCGGGAGGCCGGGCGCCCGCCAAACGGAGACGGTCATCGTGAATTGGCTATGCGTGGAGCAAGCGCGTGAGCGGCACCAAGTTAGGAGGATCTGAGGAAGGGGGTAGTTTTTTTGGGTTTCCCCTGCCTCCTCCTCCGCCTTCTCCTTCCTCCCTCCCTCGCCCCTCCCTCCTTCAGTGGGCGCGCGAAAGTTATCGCGCAGCACGGCGGGCGGAGCGCAGCGACAGGTCCGCGCAGCCCGCGCGCCGCGCCCTGCGAACGTGGCCGAAACTCTGGGCTCTATTTCTACACATTTTTCTCTCCTGGCCGCGTGGCCGACACAGACGCAGCGCAGTGTCGGAGTCAAAACTGCGTAGCCCAATTCGGGTCGGAAATGCGCGCGGTTCTGCCCCGCGTCAGCGCCAGCTTCTCTCCTCTCCCCCCCCCCCCGCCCCCCCCCGGAGGCCCCGCGCCCGGGGGCAGGGGGCCGTTTCTCTGCTCCCCCCTCTCCTTCTCCTCCCCTCTTCCCTCCTCTTCCTGGTTTCCTTCCTCCTTTCCTCCTCCATCCTCGTCGTCGTCGTCGTCGTCGTTGTCGTCGTCGGCGGCGGCGGCGTCGTCGCCGCCGCGGCCGCGGTCGCGGTCGCGGTCGTCGTCGTCGTCGTCGTCGTCGTCGTCGTCGTCCGCGTCGCCGCTGTCGTCTTGGGGGGGCGGTTCCCCGTCTTCGGGTTTGAGGCACCCCGCGGGGGGGGGGGGCATTCGACGCGGCAGCTTCTGATTCGCACATTCCTGGCCGGAACTTGCATCCGCAGATCCGAGCCGGCAGGCGTGTCCGTGGCCGTGGAGGCCCCGAGCGCTCCTTTAGAGCGCGCAGTCGCCCCCTCCCCTTCTCTTCTCGCCCTCCGCCTCCTCCCTCCGCTTTGCCCCTCTCCCTCCGAATCGCAGTGCCGATCGGTGGTGCCGAGCCGGCAGGTCCATCCGCGGCTGCGGAGGCCCCCAGCCCAGTGCGCTCGACTCGAGCGTGGAGCTCCCCTCCTCTTCTCCTGTCCTCCGTCCCCCGCTTCCTCCTTCCTCGCCCTCTCCGCCCCTCATTTGAAGAATTGATGGCTCTGAGGTCGCCGTCTGCAGCGTGGCGCCGCTGCTCCAGGCGGGCTGGACATGTTGAGGCCGTGGGGGCCGAGGGCGCCCAGCGCGAGCATGCGGTTGCCCCCCGTCGCCTCTCCTGCCCCCCCCCCCCCCTCTCTTTCTGCCCTTCTCTCCCCCGCCCGGTCGTTATAGGATTGATGCCCGGGGGCCCATCGGCTGCATTTGCGGGCTCCCGCGCGGCCGCTGGCGGTCGATTCCAGCCCATAGGCTGGGCTTGTCTTCCCGCCGCCTTGGGAGGTATCGCGCGGGGCGCGTTCGTGCCGCGCATCCAACGCATGATTTCGAATGCTTGCCAGGCCTGAGCTGATTTGTGCGTATATGATTTATTGGTCACTCACCCTCTCCCCTTCCCCCCCCCCCCCCCCTTGGGCGTCGTGGTGGCGCTATGTCGATGCAGGCTGCGCCAGCCGTTCGGGCGGCGAGTCCACGCTGGGCTTTCCCAGTGTCGTTTTGTGCGCGCGGGCCGATGTTCCCCTCCTCTCCTCCTCGTCCGCCCCCCCCTCCTCTTCCCCCCCCTCCCCCCCATGGAATGTAGCGACGTTTATCCGGCCGCCCGCGTCTGAGCTCTGCGTTGCCGCGCTCGGGTGTCACAGCGGTTCGAGCTCGCGTCTCTGCGCTTCGTGGAGTGGGTTTATAGCCCCCTTGAGGGGAAGCGGACTTGCCACCCAGTCTCATTCATCTCGACCCTCGACGGGCATCGTGGGCTTGTGCGCTGAGGTTGTGTTCGTGGAAAAAAGTCATTAGGATACCCTGCTGCTGCTAGTGAAGATTTCGACCGCAATGGCCTTCCGAAAGTTTTGACCGCCCCAGTGCGCGGGGCCTCCTCCCCCCCATAGAACCGACAACATGGGCCCCGGCGGCGGCGGAGTAAATTTCGGGCCACACAGATTATGTGTAGTTCGTCTTTGTCCACCACGGAGTAAGAGTTTTCCACGCGCGCTTGCGGTCGCGCGGGGGGCGGATTCCGCCGTCGGTGGTGAAGTCACCTTGCGTGTCCTTGCTGCAGAATACATTTGCTCCAGGCCAGCTGGTGTTTACTCCGCGCCGTTTTATCACGACGGCGAGTGGTTTCTGCGCTCAGGGGCACTTTGCTTCTTCGCAATAACGCATGAAGATCCGCTTTCGCCCCGTGCCCCTCAGTTCGCATCCGCGCCGTGGCAGACTGACTGGTCGCAACGGCATAGTAGTTCATCGGCTGGCCATTCAGTGAATATTTTGCTAGTTGAAGGTGGACTTCTCTGGCTAAGAAGTCGCTTCGTTTGCGCGGTTAGAGAAGCATACTAAAACCGCGTTTGCCCAGAAGTGAAGACTTCCTCTGGCGCTTCGGTCCGAGTCGAGCAGTGGGCGATCGCCGTCGGCGCCGCCGAACGCGCGGCGTTCGGATTGTCTGTCGGCGCCCGCTTTGCAGGAGAGATGAAAGATGAGGGGGCGCCCACGCCGAGCGCAACCCGTGCTTTTGAGGGCGGAGGGGGGGGGGGGGGGGGTGAGGGAGGCGAAACAGCTAAGGAGCATGGCCTTGGATGCGACGTCTGCGCGGTCCCCCGAATATGTTCCATACGCGCGTATATGCATTCTGAGTAATCATCCGCGTGGAAACCCGGATCATTCGACCCCATATAGTTACATGCATGTAAAGTTGTCACCCCTATAGAAGCCAGTTCAATTTGACGCCTCCGGGAACCCGCGACCGACGTGCACGTGCCAGAAACATAGGAGCCATGCCCTTCAAAAGATTGGGCAATGAAAGACGGGCGCGCGCAATCGATCAGGACATCGGTGAGATGGAAGACATGACTGACGATTGGAAAGGCGATGGTGACAGAGAGTTACGAGGGGCTTGGACTGGATGGATTGTGTTCGTCGCGATCTCTGGAGGCGATGACGACGTGCGACCGGCCAGCGCCATTCCACCAATGTCATTGGCGACGAAGAGAAAGGCGGGCGATCCTGGGGGGGCGAGGGAGCCGGAGAAGTCAGAGAGGAAGGATTTGAGGATGAGATACGGGACGAGGGCCGTGCTATCGAGATTGCGCTATGAGGGCGACGATAAGATGGAATAGCGTTAACTGGAATATCCAGACCAAGAACATGAGCATGCGAACGCGGGCGCAGTACGCGCTGGGTTAAACGTGCGGGGCCGAAATTGCGGATTGGCTACCCGGCGCCAATGCGGGTGTCATCAAACAGGACAGTGCGATTCGGAGGGCCGCGGGTTTGCGCGGCAACGGCCAGCGCAATGTGCAGTCGCATGTAATTGCGGCTTACTCGCCATTCCGGTTTGCTGGCAGGGTTAGCTAGCATCGGACGCAAGCGCATTCGATGCGCGTGGAAATGTTTGGCTTTCGCGGCGAGGCGACGCGGGCGAAATCAAACGACGTCAAAATGACGGAGGCAGCCTTGCAGTTGATCGCAAGTCCAGCGCGCGCAGCCACCATCAGGCCACAGGCGCGTAGCTCGAGAGGCCCGGGGCGGAAAAGATGAGGGGCCCGTTCGATCGCGGGGTCAAGCGCCTCGCGCTTGCGTTTGAGCTGCGCGAGAATCGGAGGGACAGCAGGGCGCATTTTCTCTGCCACCACCCTGCGGGGGGCCTCGATCTGGGCCACGTCGCCAGCGCGAAGAATGTTCAGGCTCAAAGGCGTGCAAACGTAGACGGCGACTGTATCGAATCCCAAGAGACAAATGAGCGTTGCTTGCTTTTCGGCTTTGATATTATCCGCGCTTCTCCTCGCATCCCTTCTCTTTTTCTAAAACGCCCTTGTCTTCCCGTCGCGTTCGGGGGGAACTGCCGTCGCGGCTGGGGGGGCGCCACGGCCGTCAGCCCGCGCCCCCAAGGCAAGAAAAGCGGCGATCTAATCACAAACGCTTTATCCAGTACTTGAAATGTTCGTGAATGCGCCGGCGCCGCTGCGTCGGGGCGCGCGCCCCCCCCCCTCTGCCCCGATTGCAGCGGCGCCCCCATTCCCGTTGCAACCGGCGCCGTTTGGCTCGACGCGAAGCGAAAATTGGCCGGCTGGTCTCCGTCGCCCGCGCAGCCTGAAGCAGCCGCGGCTGCTTCCGGCGCCCGGCCGCGGCGGCCGTTTCAGCTGCCCGCGCCCCGCCTGCGGGCGCCGCGGCGACCTGCAGCGCGGGGCGGCGTCGGCGGAACCTCGGGGCCGCAGAGCCCGAGGAGCGCGCGGCCCCGCTGCGCCGCTGATATGCGAAGGGCCCCCATCATCACCGCCGCGCTTGCCCCCGCCACCTGCAGACGGCCATCGACGATAATGACTGATTCTCGAGCCGCTTCGGCGGCTTTTTCAGCTGATGGCGGCATGCCTCCGCTGACGGCCACCGAGCCGCTCGGCCACTTGCCCTCGCGCCCGCGCTCGCCCGTTGCCGTCGCCGGCACGCGCGGCGCCCGCGACGCCGGAACTTGGAGTTCTGGCAATCCCGGCCCCGAGCACGAGGCCATCACTTCAAGTTCTGGAAGTCGCTGGCCCGGGCGCGTGCCAGAAATTGTTTTTGTCGCCGACAGCGCGGGGGGAACTTTTGCGATATCTTCAGAATTGGGAATCTAGTTCCCCAGCAAACTGCGGTTCTACGCGCCCGCCCCAGAAACTGAGCGCCTGCATTGACAAGCGGAGGGCGCCGATGACAGGCGAGCGATGAGAGCGGGGGGCGGGGGGCCTAGGTGGAAGATCGTTTGTCCGATGGCCCTTGGATGGCAAGGAGGGAGGGCGAGGGGGGGGCGGAGGGGCAGGAGGAGGACCAGAAGGAGGAGGAGGCGAGGGGGCACGGGGGCAGCTTGGTCGTTCTCGCCGGCCCGGGAACAAGGCCGATTGCAACCAGTTCGAACCGTTCGCGAATTATTGCGGGCAGATTCCAAGCATCGAACAGGGGCCGATCGCAGCGCGAGCGATTCCTGCGCGAATTCTACAATGTCGACACCGGAGTTCATGCGCTGAATAGCTTCTGAAACGCCCCTGAAGCGCCT